TAAAGTTTTGATAAAACCTGCACATCGCCGCCAGTCACAATTACTTTACTGCTGGTCGTAGTTTAATGCGCCAGGCTGTAGGCCTGCTTGTGAAGACCAGCGGCAAAGAAATCTTGGTGTTAAATAAATAATAGAAGTTAAAACAACAATCTGTTTAGACTGCCTCGCCATGTTGTAGGTTGAATGTCCTAGTTTATTTTTGCAGGGAATATGGAGACTTGTCTTTACGACTGAAAAATAAATTAAAGTTAGTGCAAAAAGAGAGGGGGTGTATCAAAGGAAAACCTCTATATTTTCGAGTGTGTGTTTGTTGGATATACTTCGTTTTTGTTAAATTGTAGGTCTGCCCATTATTGACATTTTAAACAACACAGTTTTTAAGTTATTTTATTCGCATTAAAGTATACTTTTTGTTCCTCTCTCCATTCCCATAATTTCTCCTGTATTCCTTTTCAAACTGTTTCAATTTTGAAAAACAATTAAAAAATTGAAATAACCTCTCAAACCTGTCTAATGGTAGCAGCCCTTGTAAAATAGATTAGTTTGCAGTATTTTACTCTGTAAAGATAAACATACGCCAATGGAGGCATCAGACTTGGGTTTGTGTAACGCAGACATGTCAGAATAAAAATGAGGCAGAACTGAGAAATAGTTCTTTAAGATTTAAACAGTTTTCAAACCGTTCAAAGTCTGGAAACAAACAAGCGAATAAACTGAACAAGCAGTCGCGTTCAGCCATCTTACATTCTGGTGACGAGACATGAATATTCACTCGATGTTTCTATACTGAAAATATTTGTGTCATGTGTTCGTTGTGTTTCTGGGAGGGGGGTGATCTTTATGAGGTGTTGTGGAAATTATCTCACCACATTAACACAATAAGAAACGTAAATGTGTTAATCACAGGTAGGAAATTGAATGAAGGACTGAGGCAGTTCACTTCAGTGCTGTGTTTGTGACAGGTTGAGGGGCGAACTGCCGGCTCTGGGGGGCGATGGGCAGTGTGTCCCGCCGCGCCATCGGGGGCAGTATCCACAGAATTCGCGAGTTCGAACTGGAGAAGGTGAGTTTGAAATTAAAAGCACGGGCCGACTTTGTATTTTCAGTTTTTCTAACACAAATTGAGCATGTGTTAAGGTAGTGGACTAGCACCTTTATATATATAATTTTTAATGATAAAAGTACGATTGTAATATTATATAAGTGTATTCTTTATTATTATTATTATTATTGATTATATCGATTTCATTGCATTATTTTATGTTCTACTTTTGTTTTAGTGTTCAGCTGTAATTTGCCTTGTTTGTCTGCTGCTGTTAAGCAAATCCATGGACATTTTTAGGAAAGATGTGAAATATATGACATATTGCAGTAATATTTACGTGGTGTCATAGCAAGAATTTAATATTACTTTTCGCTGCCCAGTTATACGACTCATAGTCCTTTGTATATTGTTCTGGATAAATGTAAACTTTCTGTAGTGACAGAATGCCACTTGTTAATTCGGTTTTACATTAAGCTCGTCACACATTGGAAGTAAAATCCTAGCAGCTAAGTTCTCTTGCGGTTTACTGTCTTGCAAAGCCTGAAATTACTGGTTTGGTTAAGTAGTGAACCGATCTCTTTAAAAGATGGAAACACGATGACTGATGATTAAATTATCCTATCATGTTTGCATGATTTGTGTATAAGTGAACTAAATGCTGGCACGCGTTCGGTATACCAAAAAGCCACACTTGTCTATACCTTCGTAAACAATTGTCAACTGATATGTGCCTTTCTCTGCTGATGCAACATTTTATCAACCATTGGTTTCTCCTACGCGTTAATTCTCTATAAATCACTTGAGATTGTTTAAGTTAGTATCTGGAAACAACACTAAGAATTAGAAATTAAATTGGTGAAGAAATTATAAGGAGGAGTTCTTGAAATGTTCGTTATTCAGTTATAAAACTGTTGCCATCCAGTCTAACTTCCAAAACGCTTACGTTGAAATGTGGTTTATTGGTTTGCTGAAGGACATAAAATACAAATGTCTGAAAACTAAATAAAACATTTCGTTCTAAGAAGTAAGACATTTAGAACATTCAATGACGAGTAACTTCGTTACTATTTTACACTTTGCCTAATTATATCAGTTCTAGCTCGCATTTCTGTCAGATAATTTGTAGAAGAGAGAACTTTTGAGACTCTCTTATAAATGTCGTACAAAGAGACCAACAGAATACCAGTAGAGTCAAGATCTTGTTACGTGCCACACCGAAACAATGTGTGTGACGCAGAGAAAATATTTCTATTTTCACTTCTTCACAACTCAACCTGGCTAACTCTTCCTTCTATCAGTACTTGCGTGCTTCTCGTAGCTGTTTGGAAATCTTCCATGTAGACATTGATTATAATAAAACCTGCGGATCGAATGTTTTGAAAATAACCACAGCGACATGCCACAAACAGACATACCACATGCTACGGTGTACAATGGTCGATATTCTATATTTGGGACTCAAAGCCATTTATTAAAGAACAAAGAGCTTAACCCGTTATTTTTAACGAATAATTGAAATGTAATCGCACACAATTCTAAGTGAACTAACTCAGAATTCGAAGAGGAGAATTTGACAACAAAATTCACCAAACTTACTTACAAACTTACGTAAGTCGCAATACTCCCTCCGTCGATATATGTATAATATATACTACATAAAATATATTTCATTCAAAATTCATAATCATGTTCATGTTCCATCTCCGTTACAGATTTCATATCCACTGTTTAAGCTGTCTGTTTAGTTATCACCACAAAAGCAAAAGCTAAACAAATATTTAATACGACATGATTTATGGGTTCTACAAAATAGTGATCCAAAAAACTACAAGCTCTTTTAAGTTCTATTACACAACAAGACGTCAGGAAGCTACATTACGTGCCTTCCATCTCAGAATTTCACAATCAATCAATGACACCAAGAAGTTAAAAAGTATGAAAGTTAAATACTATTCAATGGCCTGAAGTCATAGGAAGATTAATTAAAATTATATTATATTTCCGAAGTGTTAAAGGGGAGTAAGTTTGCCATTATTTAGAAAGTTGTCTGACATATATTTTATCAGCTTTGTGGCTCAACACAAAACCACAATGAAAAGTATTTTATTTAATAAGATTGGAAATCAACAATTAAAAATGTATTACACATATTTGGTGAGGCAACTTCTAGAGAAAAGAAAAATCGAAAGGTCTATGCGTGCATGGGATAATGAGATAATATTAAAATAGGCCCCAAAGAACTTTGAATGTTAACTGAAATTCTGTAAAAAAGATGATGAACATTCGGCTTTCATAAAACAGAGAATTTCCTAGCCAACTGGGTAACTACAAACACAAAATCAGGAAAGAGGATTTTATTTATTCGACCCCAATCCTGAATCCTTTCGACTTCAAATCATTAATCGGAACTGCTAAATTCTTTATCACAACTGATTAGACGACTTTCCGTTACGTGTATAAGGAATAATTAAGCTTAGGATATATTATTCTTGAGAAAGCAGATTTCGTTATTTTGGCGAATGAAATGTTTATTGTTAGTCAGACCTTCGTACAGAACGCTGAAAATTCCTTTTTTCTGGTCCAACACGCACAACCTGGGACGAAGCGTGGGGTATACGTCGACAGTAACACCCATAGTGAAGACATGGTAAATTTCTTGAGATCCAAGTGGAAATAATTTGATTTTGATGCCTAGGATGTTTATCGCGTGTCAAAATTCAACACCAGATGTTTTTAAAGAAATTGTCAAGTTTGCTTCCTACCAAAATGGTACATAGTGGAAACAGTTGTAAATCCCTAATCTAATAGTTATAATAATCTCATAAATCTGTTTGTTCTGAAATAAATTATTTACATTTTATAACAATAACAGAAATCCCTACCCTTGTTTTACAACAACAAGATTTTCGGATATTCCAATCGTACGATCTTATGCGGGACCCACGTGGGGCCACCGTTATCAGATCGCCCTGATGATGGAGGCAGCAAGGACTTCTGAAGCGTCGGTAAACTTTTACCAGACTACACGGCGGAACAACACAGAAGACAGACATTTTCAGACTCACCGCCGTGAAAACCTCAAATCCTACATACACTCACGTAGTTGGATCCATTTATATTTAGACTCAGTTTGGGAAATCTGTCAAATGCATCGTCATTGAGGCATAAGCCAGTGGCTCCAAATCCTAATACATTTGTTTGCGCATCAACTGTTCTGATTTTTTTTAATTTTATAAGCAGTGAGATAATTCTTGTTTTTGGCCTCGTTTTCAACTTTGCGGCGAGCCAATCAACATCATTTCGATCGTCCATCCGTCTGTACACATGCATCATCTCTAGAGCGACTGAACGGATTTCCACAGCATTTTACACCGGGTAGTTTTATTAAAATATGCCAACATAAGATCGAACAAAAATTACGGACACTGTACACAAGCACCTACGCGAGATTTCAGGAAATGGAAAATTCCCGCATGGTGTATTGCTCTGTCATTCACAAAAATTAAACATGAAATAGTGGCGGCAACGCTTTACAATTGTTACGATATGCATACTTTTCCTAACTTTATACAATTCTGAACACGTTCTAATTTAATGCAATTGTAACCTTCACACGATTATTGCTTTCTCCAAAACAAAATGGTAAATCACTCTCAGGCATCAAGAAATAAATTCGTTAAGACACGCGAATGTTACTGACTAAATTGAATTTCTCATTTTGCTACATTTTTTCCTGTTGTATTCCTTCTGCCTTTCTTTCTTTCTTTCTTTTTCTGTCGGAAATTGTCATGAATTGTATTTCGACTCATAATTTTGTGTATGTATACATTTCTGGTTTGTTTATATACAGAAAACTGTTTAATCCAAAATAACACCACTTTATGATCCATAAAGTTGTAATCATCGCTTAATTTATTCTGATTTCACTTGATTTATCCGCTCTGTACGCAAGTTCATTATGGTTTAAAGATAATCTGATAAAATTCTTATATAAAAATACTCATTTCAATAGGAAGATACATAGTTTCGTTTGAAAATTAGGCCCAATTAATTACCTAACATAAACGTACGAACACTTAACAGAAATGGATATCTGTAAGGGGATATGGAAGAGAGATTCTGAGTTTAAGAAGAAAGGAGACACAAAATGCAGCAATTTTCACCGCATTGTGTAGGATACAGACACGCACTTTTTATACAAAAATTATATGCCGAAGTATTTCTGTACTCACCTACAAAGTCAGAGTTTTTGCTCTCCGACTATCTGAAGAATGCAGCCATCTGCGAATATCCTGTCTTCATTTCACACATTTTACTCACAAATTATTTCACATTTTACGAAGGTAACAGTACTTTGTAACTCACTACATCGTCTTCAGTTTGTTTACGATTCAGTCAACTAGGCATAAATCTGACGAGTTTCTTAACGTGGAAAACTGAACAAATCCCAGCCCAGAAGAGTTATTTTAGTGACTGACAGAATATTTTACGGATAAATCTTCACCGTGCAATAATAGTAAGACAGCAACTTATATAAACCACTTTGTGCCTTTGAAATTAAGCGTGGGCCACGCACAGAACTCTCGCCAAAAGCTTTAGGCTGCTTTAGTTTATGAAACAAACATGTCTTCCCAGAACTCATTCTTCCTTCATGCCAACCCATCTTCGAGCGCCCCTAGTCATTCCCTGCAGTAAACTGACGTGAAAGCAGAAGGACGGTCAGCGATGCTGCACTGTTTTTGAGTGCGTTTAATATACGTGGTATGTAATATTATAAACAAAGGTCATGAACGTAAACAGGGCATGTTTATTGTAATTTAACGTTTATATGTTTTATAAAAGAGTGAATTTTAATAAAATAACGAATAAATAAACTTCATAGAGCATAATAGGAATTACATGAATATATTAATCACACGCTCAGCATAAAAGGCTCGGCGTGTCTTTAAGATACGCCATTGGTAACCCTAATGGCCCACAGCAGACTTCAAGACAAGGCGCTCATCACATCATGTAACATGGCTTTGTGACAGTCGTATTGAGCGTTAATCTACGAAAAGTATATCAGTGTACTCTGGAAGGACGACCCCATAACCTCCATAAATTTGTTATCAAAAGGGCTCATTTCTTTTATTTACAAATAATTGTACACAATCTCCCTTACTTAACAGCTAAAATTTTGAGTGGGAATTGCCTTCTTATTTGCAAATAAACACTGGGCACAACTCTGCAAAGTATTTAAAAAACTCTATCTGAAACAGCACAATTAAACTACTCATTTCACACTGATAAATTGTCCAGAAATATTTCGATATATATTTATTTAACTGTTGGTTGATTTTAAAATTATTTTTACAGTGCAGTTCCAAAATATAAAAAAACAACATATTTTTGTGCTTCATTTTGGGATTCTGCGTATTTAAACACTTTTGTTAGTAATTTTCTTGTGCAATTCTGGGTTTCGTCAAAGCAACAAATTCTAGAAGGTTTTGTATCATTTACTGGCATGCTGAAATGCGCGCCTCGTGTTATCTGGATGATACTGATCGACGTTTCAGAGGGGCTTACTGCCTCAATCGTGAGGCCAGAACTCACCAGACTACAATGCGTAACGTCTCCGAAGACAGCCGTCTTCATGTCGTAACCATGGCATCTTGACATCCCACACAGATTCTGTTCTTGTTGTCATGCTTTGGTAAGCTCGCTGTACTTTCTCATGGATGTGTTCGAAAGGTGAACTTGGCGGAAGAATTCGACATTCTGCAGATTGTTGGTGAAGGATGGTTTGGCAAGATCCTGCTGTCTGAGCACCGCGCAACAGACACCGAGATGGTGTTAAAGGCGCTGCCCAAACCCTACACCGCCGTCAGGGACTTCTACCGCGAGTTTCACTATAGTCTTCACCTGGGAGCACATCGGAACATAATCAGCACATACGATGTTGCCTTCGAGACGGCTGGCTTCTACGTCTTTTCGCAAGAGTACGCCCCCCTTGGCGACCTCACATCCAACGTATCGGAAACAGGCATCGGCGAGCTCCACAGCAAGCGGGTTGCCAAACAGGTACATCTCAGTTTCCTTCGGAATCCGACAGAGATTCTTGCATTCCTCTGTATTATTTTAGGGTCATTCCGGTGGTCTAGTGATTAACAGGCAAGACTGGCATTGAAGGGATTCATGTTTAACCTGGAGCAGTGGCTGCTGCCCGTCCATAAGAGCTGCAGCACCCCCCTATAACTTTTCAAAAATTGAAAAATTTATTTTTTGTGTTTATATAATTTGTAACACTTTATTTCTTCTATATCATTATTTTAAAATTGGCTTTTACTTTGTCATTATCCACTAATCGGCTGAACTGACAGGAAGTCCACGGGTGAGGAGTGCGAAGCAGAACGGGGCTATCTTCCGGCAGCAAGGATTTCAGCGCGGCTAGCCGGTCAAAATTAGTGAGCGCGGCGGGCGGTATTCAAATATAAAAAAAGAATAAAAATGTAATTTTAGTGGAAACCAGTCACCTGAAGATGGCTGTCTTCTGGGTTGCAGCGCCGCGTAGTCTTGCAGTCTTTTACCAACGTTTCAAAGGCAGTTGCTTATATAATTGCTTGATGATGGAGAATCTCTGGGCCAATATTCGAAACGTGATCTCCAAACTTCGACTCGACGTTCGGCGCTCTCGAGAGAAATACACTTATTTTACAAATGTGTGAAGAAATATTGTTTTCTCTGAGATAGCGACTGGATGTTTAAGAATTATTTAGACTAGCTTTGGCTTCGAAGGCTTAAGCAATGTCGCCTGGTTACACAGAGATCTACCCAGTATTCTGTTTGCCCATACAACCGCATTCTTACGAGATGAAAGTACGTCGCCATGTGACATGTGCAATATTAGCGTCAGTGTCATGAGAAGACGTGGACAGGTGTTCATGTAGTAGAATCACAAGTAGGTCATTCTAAATGGGCCGATCGTCGGCAATGTTAACCGAGATTAATTAGTCTTAATCAAGACTGGACATAAGCCCAAGTTTACTCGTGCTTTATTTAAAACTTTTCGGTTATTTTCAGATAGCATTAATTTCAAATAACGTGATTAATATTTCAGTTTATTACTTAGCTAATTTTCTTTTTCGTTTCTTTCCCATTTCCTATTTGTTTTGCCGTATTTATCTACCTTCTCCTCTTCTTTTCTTTTCTGTTTTCACGTAACCTTTTTTATTCCTCTTGGATACAGGAAATTAAATACAGTAGGAAGAACTTTTATAATCAAATAATAAACGTTCCATCATCGTCACTATGGCAATTAAGGACGCATGCTTAAATTTCATTACACTAAATATAACTGAGTATTCTAACTACTGAGCTAGATTTGACCAGCTGTGACTCGGATCTTATGTGGGAAATGTGCTGAGACGTTTGATTCCAGAGTCGTTGTTTGTTTGCACAGAATGAAATAGAACGGCATAAGACGTTCTGTGTAATCGTTATTATTCTCTACAGCTCGCTTCGGCGCTGGAACATTTGCACACCCGCGACTTGGTCCATCGAGACGTGAAGTTGGATAACGTCCTCGTGCTGAAATCCGATTTCTCTCGGGTCAAACTCTGTGACTTTGGCGAAACCAGGCGAACTGGCACTTTGGTCAGAAGACGCAACGAATGGCTGCCTTACTCACCACCGGAGGTGCTACTCACTAACACAGACGAGACGTACAAGTAAGTTCACGGCAGAGTTCTACCAGAGTTATTTTAGAGTTCCCTTTCTAAGTAACGGAACTGGCCTATTTTCTCACACACAGCAAATACATGTAAATCTGAAGTCTGTGAATCGTGTTATCTGACCCGCGAATCCGTGATGTTTTCTTCAAAAATAGGCTTCTGTCATACGATATACTTCTTTATATTTTTAAAATCCCTTTCAGTCTGTTCTTTGTTTTACTGCAACGAATTTTGTATTTTTGAGTTCACAGTATCCAGTTTTTGGTTATTCTCAGGCACCCTCTTTGTTTAACATCGCAGCACCGTACCATCGCTTTTTAACCTGAGAAGCTGACACCGCGTCATAAAATAACCGTTTACCCTTCTTATCCTGTTATTCCTGCTACCAGGCCTTCTATAATACAGCCTGAAGATACATTTATTGTGTATTGATACACCGGAATCTGTGAAGTGAAAATTCATAATCCTTAATAAAGTGACACATGCTGTCAGGCTCTGTATCTTCTGAAAAGTTAGTCGTTGAAAACGAGTCGGAGCTAAGTGACTCACAGCGTATGATACACGATCTTAAAAAAATCAGCTGGCCAAGAAATTCTCCGCATTTATTAGTGTTTATAAATCCCACCAATGAACTGTGCCCTGAGCCAATTTCCTCAGAGGCTTTTTTATTTTATAGAGCAGATCACAGTAGCATTAAAACATCTGCACAACACATGTTGCAGGGCGGAAACATCACACGACGTGTGGCAGTTTGGAATCGTGATATTCGTGTGTCTGACGGGTTGCCTGCCATGGCAGAAAGCAGGGAGCGACGACCCGCGGTACGTCCGCTATCTGCACTGGCACGGGAGCAACGGTGTGCTGATGCCCGTGAGGCGGCCCAAACTCTTCAAGCTGCTCACCTCCAAAGCACAGAGGATGTTCCGCAAGTTCCTGGAACCGCGGCCGGAAAAAAGACCCGGAGGGCTGGCTGACCTGGCGAGATTCCTTGAGGACAGGTGGCTTACAAGAACGTCACTTGCCAGACAAACAGGTGAGTTGTGTGCACAGCGACCAAGGTCGGATCCAATCCCGGTCATTTTGTTGTTATTTTACAATGCTGGATCAATTGCTGTTTAAAGGCGGTGTAGCCTGGTGCTTAAGCACCGTGCCCCGAAGATGTAGACCTGTAGTAGGAGCGAAAGTCTAGCTGCACGAATTCTTTACTTCGGCACTGAATGGAGGTGAGTGATTAGCTTCGAGCTCAGGCCGCCAAAGTGGATCCTGGATATGACGGAGAAAAGAAAAACACAGGGCCTGGTCGAAATGAAATTCTAGTTTCTGTACCGACGCAGTTTTCCATTTGGTTCTTTAGTGTCAGTAACGACGTTTTGTGTGTGTTTCCTTCTCTTCCAGATAACAACCTTGAAGACGAAGGGCTGTGCCCCTCAATGTACAGTTTCCATAGCAGTGTCGAAGAAAAGAACCAACTGCTCTTCACACTGACACAATATGGCATCGAAACAACGGTTGACCGCAGAGCCAAGAAAGACCGAATCCGGGACTGGATCCAAGCCAGCGTCATCACAGAGGTCCCAGAAGATGAAGAGGAAGAGGAGGACGATATAGAGGAAGAAGAGAGACAGAAGGAACGGGAGGCCATGGAGGGAAAAAGAGACAGTAGACATAAGAAAGACAAAGAAACGCCAGCAAATACCAGCCGGTCGGCAAGTCAGTGATCTGAACATGGAAGAATATGGAGGATAGTCGTATTTTAACACAATTACTGTCTCCGAACGGGAATAATTATCGTTCTTGTAATTAATAAAAATGCACTAAAATCTCTTGGATGATCAGTCGTGTCAAAGTTTAGTTAAATACTGATATTTCAGAGAACTAGTCTGTCTCCTTAATCAGTGCCCAAGAGAATTTAAGTGCATTTATTAATCACGAAAAGAGCATATCTTGCTTTACGAGAATGGTTCCTAGAGGTTCAGACTGTTAGAAGCATGAAAGAAAATGATGATGGAGCACATCAGTGAAGACAACCTCTGTCATTATTGGAGACTCTGTTACACCTCTCTTGATATTTCAGGTGCTAACAACATTTATAGATAAAAGTGACATCAATGGATTCTGTATAACTACTGGTCAATCCTAAGTGCCACAGTATTTTTGGAATGGTCTTATTAATTGTTGCAGCGTTATTGAAGTATGCCAATAAGGTAGTTGAGTTTCTAATTTATGTCTCTTGAAGTAAAAGTATATATTTTCTTTTGTAATAATTAATCCCTGGTTTGCACTTCAAACAGGTAGCAGGAAAGCGAGCTTAAAAAATATTTTGTGTATGTGTGTACATGGGCTATGTATGTAAATGATACAGTTACTATAAAAGATCTGTTTTTATGTCTGTCCACAGCAGCTGAGTGTACATAAAATACTCCAGTAAGGAATTACCAGACCTCCCCTCTAATTGAATAATTGAATATGCACAAAAATATCTCACTATCTTTCCCACAGTAATCATAAGATTTGATCTGGCTGTCCCGACTAATGTTTCTGTCACATTACACAGCCTCTTCTTTTCAGGAAGTACCATAAAAGGTTCAGAAAA